GAACCTGCTCGCTTCCAACAATCCCTCGTCGGCCATCCCCGACGTGTTCCTGACGTCGTCGTCGTCGGGTCGTCGTTGTCATCATCGTCGTCGTCGTCGTCGTCGTCGTCGTCGCGCGCGTGGCAACATCGGAGGTACGTACACGTTCCGGGATAGGGAGCGTGGAGCCCTCGCGGGGCCAGGTGTCGAAGCGCGAATCGCCGACGCAGCGTCAAGATGGCGCGTGCCACGATCACAGCTGTTGTTTACCCACAAACCCGTGTGGAGCGAGCCACTGGCTGCTGTGGCTGCTGAGAGAGGACAAGCGTGCGACACGACGCGACGCCTGGCTCCCCTGGCTCATCGGGACTGCTCGGGGACGATGGGAGATGCTCGACGTATGAGTGGCTCGGAGTAACGGAGTGTAACTCGTGAGAGAGACGTGACGGCGACGTGACGAGAACGTGACAGCGCGACGACGTCGACGACGACAACGACAACAACAACGACGACGGCGACGGCGACGGTGGTGACGGCGGCAGTGGTGGTGGAGGCGGCGTCGACGGCGACGGTGTTGGTGGCAGTATTGGTGACGGCGGTGGTGGCGGTGGTAGCGGCGGCCGTGGTGGTGGTGGTGGTGGTGGTGGTGGTGGTGGTGATCGTGCTGCTGCTACTGCTGCTGCTGCTGGCGGTGGTGGTAGTGCGTCGAGAAAAAACGGGACGCGCGAAGACGGACTCGATGGAAGAGGGTAGCGGGGCCTGCGGCGTTAGAAGTCATCAAGTCAGCGCGAGGAACTAACCTAATTTCGTCCGCCATCGCGCGACACGAGGACGACGACGGCAGCAACAACGACGACGAGGACGAAGACGAGCACGATCACGATCACGATCACGATCACGACGGTGACGGAAGCGAGACGGAGCGATCGGGAGGAAGCCTCGATAACGAGGGAGAGGAGCACCGAAGTTGGTTCGCGACTCCTCGGCAATAAGTGCGTTATCCTCCTTTGTCCTTTTCGTCCTGCGTTACGTAAAAAAGCGTGAGAGTAGTGAGCTGATAACGTAGCGTGATAACGACCGGTCGCAAGGTCGATGTTGCCGTGCCGACCACCGGTTTTTCTTTATATTCCGAGCTGCACTTCCGAAGCTGTACTTCCGCAGCTGCACTTGACATTCACGTGTGTTTGTTAAATTCCTTCGGAGTTCGAGGTTAGGCTTATTGACACATGCGATTTTATCAGAGTTCAATGATAAAAATTCTACCGCTGTGTGTTTTCTAAATCTTAATGAATACATTTTTCTCGTTTCTTTGTCGCTCCTCCTGAATCTTTTGTCAATGGCTTTCTTTTATTTGCTTGACTCGGTGATATGACATGATACCATGAGTCATCCCTTTGCACCTTACTATCCCTCCTTATGAAACTTTTTGTTTTACGTTAGATTTGTTTTTTTTTTATATCTAAACTAATGTATGTACACTCATGAGATATCTTTTTTTTTCTTTTTTTAAATAGCTAAACTTGCATTTTTGTTTTATCTCTTTTTTTCTTCATTACACAAAAGAGAAAAAAGCCATGCAAAAAGTTCAGCTAAAAGAAACAAGATTGAATTAGATATAGTTTCAAGGAAATGAAAATTTTTATGTCAGTTTTTACCATTTTTGATTAATTTAATCGATTGATTATTCCATTGGAATTGATGCATTTGACACTTCATCATGTGACACTTACTTGATCAATTAAATTAATCCAAGATGGTAAAATTGACTTATTAAGTTTGTTCTTTTTGGCTGTACTAGTTCACAGTTTATTTTTCTTTATACTGGAAGAAGAAGAAATTCTGAACTAGTGCAACTAATTCAACTAAAAAGAACAGACCTTTAGTATAATCCAATGTAACGATGAAGAACAGATCTATTGTTGCATCATTGTTGACATTTTAATATTTTATGTGTTTTATAAAATAATCTATTGATAATAGAACATTTTAGAATAGATAATAGAATATAACTTCTAAATTTTTTTCTCCTTATAATTTCTACAATCTTACTTGTCAACACTTTTTTTCGCGTATTAATTTTATTTACTTAGCAAATGTATAACTGTAAAATGTATTGCTGAATTATAGCAGGAAACTGTTTCACAGATATCATCATGAATGCCAGGACGCAGCTATTTGAATTGAGCATGGAGGGACGGCAGGTGGATGAGGCAGTGGCGAGTATATTCCACAGTGTGCTCTTCCATCGAAGTCTCGGCAAATTCAAATACAAACAGGAGGGCAGCTACTCGGTGGGTACTGTGGGATATCAGGACGTGGATTGTGATTTCATTGATTTCACTTACGTTTGCTGCTCGTCGGTACACCTCGACCAGACGCTGAAGCGTGAAATATCAGGCTTCTCGGAGGCGCTACGCTCCACTGACAGTCCAGGCTCTGGTCAGATATCTCTAGAATTTTTCCAGAGAAAAAAAAGTCGCTGGCCGTTTCAACCGGAGTGCATCCCGTGGGAGGTATGGACCGTGCGTCTTGAACTTATCAAATTAGCCACCGAGCACGAACGGCAGATATGCCGGGAGAAAGTGGGAGACCTGCTGACCGACAAGATCCTGTACATCACCGAGGTCATGAATCGGCATGATTACATCCCGAAAGTGCCGAGTCAGGCTGAGCTGGATTTGATCTTCGACACGTCGTATCCGGATATACAACCGTATCTCTTCAAATTGTCCTTCACAACCTCTAGTCCGTCGACTACCACGATGGGCAACACTATGAAGAAGTTAATTAGAGAGACACTGTCCATTTAGTCGTTATAATGTACATTAAATATTTAAATATTTCACATTTAGTGCGTCCGTATAGCTTACTAGAGTCATCAAAATGCAAAACTCGCTTTTCTTTTCTCATTTACGATGCACGAGTCTCTGCATTGCACCAATCAACGATTTTCAGATTTCGTATCCACAATGACTCTAATCTGCCACTTTAACTTGTGTTATGAGTTTCGAGAAAAATAATCAACTTTGTATTACGAAGAAAGCAGAATGGTTCCAAGTCTTCGGCTAACTGTACACAGTGAAAACTACCAAAAGTACTCGAAGTACTTCGCCTATGTGGTAGGCTCTGTTGGATTTTTTGTAATACAGTGGTGTCTCTTATAATGAAGATACTACATCGCAGGGACTTCCGCTACTATGTGTCTCTAATGTCTCTATATAGTACAAATGAACACAACACTCTTGTGTCACATGCTTTTTTTGTACTTTACTATGAACGTCCGTCGCATAATTTTAGCAGGATCACATTAGTCACGTTTTACACAATATTTTACCTCTTAACTCTCACCACTCTTAAAAATCTCCACAAGTGGCTTCTGTGGCAGAACATTACGTTCCTCTCTCGTTTCTCATCCTTTTCAAATGCTGTGTATACATCGTAGAATAGACTCGAGCGTACTTTTCTTTAATAGATAAAGAGTCTTTTTGCGCGTTATTCAAAGAAGATAATTTGATTTAGAATAGAAGTCGATCGTCTAGTTGAGCAGGATATCTCCAGATTCTTTAATGTTTAATAGAATCTTTGAAAATAATGAATCTTAAAGATACTTGTAACTTACTTGATAAACTCCTCCGACTACACGACGGCTGTATTCGGCGCTATATATTGTGTTTTTCAGTCACTAACATTGAAAGTATATGTAGTTATCCTAAACTCTCTGACAAATCACAGAATGCTTGGATTATTCCACATATGTACATATATATATATATATATACATATACATATTTAACATGTTATGTACACGTAGCGTGTATACACGCGGGCTTGCATACCACGCTGTTATTATTTTCACCATAAATTTAACGCTGAATATTGGATTTAGATAATTGCGTAGAGAGTTAGCTAATATTTAGCGTTAAATATATGCAGCAGAGCAGAGTCTTAATTATAATTACGGTGTATGCATGGAAGTGATTGTTATTTATTTCCAGTGAGTGATGAGACACGTGACGTAACGCCAGGCGTCATGTGTACGCAGATTAGCAACTACAATTATTTACACTGCTCTATTCTCTCGTTGATCTTAAGTTATAAGAATCAAATTGTAAAATAAGTTAACGGTCATTAAGCCAGCGCGATGCCCACAGTATCGAAGTGCACCGGGATACGAAAAACACCGCACGAAAAATCACCGTCATGTTTACATTTCCCCAGACGTTTCGTGCCTTCGTATCGAATTTTTGATAGAGAAATTAATCTAGGAGACTAACATACTTGATCCAGATGATAGTGTCACTATTATTTATTGTGCTCGAAGCATCTCTCTCATCTCGTAAAAGTGGAATAGTCTCTCTTTTTCACGCGCGCGCAGAAGACAAATCTGTGATCCTTCTCGGATTCGAGGCGGTTTTGTTCTATTCCTCATAAGCGACAAATGTGTGCCGTTAACGTCGTGTCGTTTTAGGATTTTCAAGCTAAAGGGAGACGCGAGATGGCGGATACCGGAACGCTCGTTGGCGGCGATTCCACGAGCGATTACACTTATTATATATTATACTATGTAAATAGCGTCCGAAGAATATTGCTGCAAATCAAATTATGTCGCGCCGAGAGAGTCCCCGCACGTTCCGAGATCCGCTTCTCTCGCCCTCACCTACGACCAATCAACAAAGATATCACGACGCATTAGTAGTGCACATACCTTACGAATTAACCGTAGACGAGAAGCGTAATGTTAATTTAACGATTAATCATATATCGTCCCCCTACTGCTTTTCTTTTTCTGCCAATCTTTCTCCAGATAGTTTAATGTACAATTGCGATTTAGCTAAATGTTCCGCGAATCGAGTGAATACGTTGATTGGATGTATCCTACTGGAATGTTTGTTTATTTTTCTCTTATCGATTATAAAGAAAGGAAAAATCACGGTGATCGTCGATAGTCCGCCGCTCTCTCTGCGATTTCCGAGTTGAAAATCGATCGCAGTCTCTTTCCCTCGCACCATCCGGCTTTTACTTTTTACGATTATGTGACGTATGCGATATTGTGAAAAGTAAAAAGAGAATCGCGTTGTGGAACCGCGATTATGACGACATTATGACAAAGAGAGGCGCGCGTACGTATGTGTACGTGTCGCATATATATATATATATATATATATATATATATATATATATATATAAAAATATATATAAATATGACATATTATATGAAAAAAAATAAAGAACGAGAGAGAGGAAGAGAAAGAAAGAGCGAATGACCACGTGTGTGTGTACAATTAGAATTTTGCGAGTTTGTCAAATTGCCACATGCTGTTATAAATATAAATGAAATTATAAATAATATATAAATATAAATATAAATAGCAAAATAGATAAAACCGAGACCTGTATATTGTAAGCTGCGAGACAAATGTGACAAAATGTGTAGTATATAGTGAGAAAGATGAAATATCTGCGAGTTTTAATTTATCATGATGAGTACGCTGACGATAAATGATTAATTATGAATAAATTACTGTATTTTATAATATACAGCATCTTTTTTTATAAATACCCGTGATTCCTGTTTTTTCAACGAAGTATTTAATTTCATTTTCCATTTTTTTATTGAATTTTAGCTAGTGACAATTTTATATACGCACATTCAAAATTCTAAGAAATTTATGCTTTTTGAAGATAAAGGATTTTTTTTTATTAAAAACAATTATTCTTATATTCATGATCATATTACAAGAATTACGTTATATCACGAGAATAATCGCAACAAAGGTTTAATATTGCAATATCTCGTAATTATATTTAATCTTGATTATCTTCTGATCTATCCTAATTACGCTTGCGTAGACAAATATTTTTGTTGACAGGGCTTTCAGTATTTGTTTATTAATTTTAAATTATAATAAATTATTAATAAATTTATAATAAATTATAATAATTATAATAATTAATTTTAAAAATAACCCCTAGCTCTTTTTGGAAGAGGAAAGAGAAAGAGAGAAATATATACATGACTGAGATTCCGTGCAAAAATACACTTATCTCGAATTATCGACTTACAGTTCAAGTAATTTATAGAATGATAAAGCGCGCAGTTTTATCATTCTTCAGCACCGTCGGGTGCTGCGCTCTAACGGGTGATCCGCAAGTATTCGGCCAGTCCTGAAATAAATGTCTCGCGCTCGCTCGGCATTGTAACGTAATGTAAACATCGTGGATTCTCGGTTACCGATTGCGATTGCGGTTGCCTATGAAGTGCAGGCGTGTGACTATCGGTCGGCTCTTGTTCCCGACATATTCCGACCGACGACGTTCCTTTTCGAGGCGGTTGCCGCGAAACTCCGCATTTCTCGCTTCCAAGGGAGTATGGAATAGTTGGCATATCACGCGGCAAGAATCCGCGCACGAGCGAATCGTCCGAAGTCGAGCATATTCCAGAATTGAAGAATTTTTCCGCAATAAGATGCAAAGGGGCAAAACCCTCCCCCGCGGTCTTCAAACACTTCCCGTTCCGAAACCGAATTACCGTGCTTGCGGATCTTCACGATATATTCATCTTGCACGATATATTCATTTCAACTTTATTAGATTTCTGAGGAACACTCCTGGACTTGTGTGGGAATCTCAAGTATTTTTGGCCACCGCCTTGACATGCTCTAGACGCCACGTGGCGAAGTAGATTGGGGCAAATCGTATAACGTAGTGATTCTACGTGGAACGAATAAATTCGCTGATCTGACCGCGACTTATTGAACCTAACGCGTAAATCCGAGTCTATAATAGATATAGTAAGCCTTAAATTGCAAGAAATTGACCAATCATAGCCGATTATTTTTCTCATATTCAATTGTAATTGGTCAATTTCTTACGACTTAAGGCTTATTACATTCATTGTCAGACCGGGATTAAACCAAGACGGTAGTGAAAAGCAAAATCACATAGAAGAAAGATGTATTTACAGCTTTTCTCTTGAATCAATTGATATTCGAATTAGTAACTGTTTATGAAGTTACATTATGCAATTTTTTCTTCTGTCACATTTACCCCATCATTGTCTCAAATGTGAAGAAAAGATTTATTT